GCAATTCTAATACATTTCAGAATTCCCTTTATATACCAGTCTTTACTTCCTTTCTCATTACATTCCACCTATATGCACACAGTTCTTTCCTTTTTAGAATATAATAAAGATTGTTAAGACATTAGTGAATCTTCCTTCTCTGATATTCTAGCATTTGTTGCAAGAGTGAAACTCTTATGATCATCATGGCCTGTTGTTGTTGTTAGGTGCCATAGAGTCGGTTCCCACTCATAGCGACCCTATGTACAACAGAATGAAACACTGCCCTGTCCTCCGCCATCCTCACAATCATTGTTATGCTTGCGCTCATTGTTGGGGCCACTGTGTCAATCCATCTCGTTGAGGGTCTTCCTCTTTTTCATTGACCTTCTTCTTTACCAAGCATGATGTCCTTCTCCAGGGACTGCTCCCTTCTGATAGCATGTCCAAAGTATGTGAGATGAAGTCTTGCCATCCTCACTCCCAAGGAGTATTCTGGTTGTACATCTTTCAAGACAAATTTGTTTGTTCTTCTGGCAGTCCATGGTATATTCAATATTCTTCACCAACACCGTAATTCAAAGGCATCAATTCTTCTTCGGCCTTCCTTACTCATCGTGCAGCTTTCACATGCATATGAGGCGATTGGAAACACCATGGCTTGGGTCAGGTGCACCTTAGTCCTCAAAGTGACATCTTTGCTTTTTTATGGCCTGTTAGGGCTTCTAATATGTACTAGAGAAGGAAATAAAATTCAACTGCTCGTGTTCTACACCTGTCTGATTTACAACTTGTTAAGTAAATTGCTATTATTTATTCTTTGACCTAGTTGAAAACAAGATTTTTTCCCCATGATGACAAAGTTTCATGCTACCAGTTCTTGAATGTACACACAGAAGTCTGAACATTTTTAATCAAGAAAACATTGAATACAGGTAGTCCCTGACATACAACATATTCGAATTACAGTGAACAGCACTTACTATCATCCATCTTTTTTATGATTTGTGTATTTTTTATATACGTATGTATGCATTAAAACATATCTGTAAGTTTAAATGTAATGTTTCCAACACCCAAAGACAAATAAACATAGAATTTAGAAAGATACTGATAATAAAAGGCAGTAATGATGAAAACTAAAAAAAAAGAAAAAAATGAAACATTTGACTTAAGTCATACTTGCAACTGAATCATCAGGAAGGAACACCATTGTAAATTGGGGACTACCTGTAGTTTCTGCTTTAAGGAAATATAATGTTTTTTTTTTTAATTTTTTTATTGTACTTTAGATGAAGGTTTATAGAACACATAGTTTCTCATTAAACAGTCAGTACACATATTGTTTCATGACATTGGTTAACAACCCCACGACATGTCAACACTCTCCCTTCTCGACCTTGGAGGACCTTTTTTTTTTTTTTGGTGAAAATATAGATAGCCAAAGTTACATCATTTCAAAAATTTCTACATGTACAATTCAGTGACATCAATTACATTCTTCCAGTTGTGCTGCTATTCTCACTAACCTTTTCCAAATTATCCCATCACCATTATCTTCAACTCACTGCCCCTAGGCTTCCCAACAAAGCTTTTGAGTTGCTGTTGGCAATTTGATCTCACATAGATAATTCTTTTTTTTTTTTTTTGTACCTTAAATGAAGGTTTAAAGAACAAATAGTTTCTCATTAAAAAGTACACATATTGCCCTATGACAATGGTTAACAACCCCAACCCCACAACATGTCAACACTGTCCTTACTCAACCTTGGGTTCCCTATCACCAGCTTTCCTGTCCCCTCCTGCCTTCTAGTCCCTGTCCCTGGACTGCTGTGCCTCATTAGTCCCATTTTGTTTTATGGGGCTGTCCAATCCCCAGCTGAACGGTGACTTCACCACTGAGCTAAAAGGGTGTCTGGGGGCCATACTCTAGGGGTTTCTCCAGTCTGTCAGGCCAGTAAATCTGGTCTTTTTTTTGAGTTAGAATTTTGTTCTACGACCTTCTCCAGCTCTATCCAGGATCCTGTTGTTATCCCAGTCAGAGCAGTCAGGGGTGGTAGCTGGGCACCATCTAGCTGTACTGGACTCAGTCTGGTGGAGGCCATGGTAGCTGTGGTACATTAGTCCTCTGGACTAATCTTTTCCTTGTATCCTGTTCTCTTCATTCTCTCTTGCTCCCGAAGGGGGTGAGACCAGTGGAATATCTCAGATGGCTGCTCACAGGCTTTTAAGACCCCAGATGCTACTCACCAAGGTAGAATGTAGAACATTGTCTTTATAAACTGTGTTATACCAATTGAGCTAGATGTTCCCTAAGACCATGGTCCCCACAGCCCTCCGCCCAGCAATTCAGTCCCTCAGGGAATTTGGATGTGTCTATGGAGCTTTCATTACCTTTCCTTATACAGTTGTGCTGACTTCCCCAGTATTGTGTACTGTCTTACCCTTCACCATATAATGTATATTTTGACAAATGTACTTTTTCTTCTAACATAGTAAGATTTGTATTTGTCCTGAAAAGAAGTGCAATGTATATGCATCTTGGCTTAGTGATGGTTTCATTTCTAATCATTTCTATCTTAATTTTTGCAACTACCAAAATAATTCTTTATATGAATAAACATTTAAATGACTTCTGTATGTTGTATATATGAAATGGCTTTTACTGAGCAGCTCATATTCCACTTGCAAGTTTATGGCAATGTTAAGTTTGTCAAAATAAAAAAGTAGGAGAATTGTGATTAGAAGAATATGTGCTTATTATTTTGAATATATTTTTTTTAATGGAGGCGTTTCAATCAAAGTACCTTTGAATTGCAGCTGCAGTATTCTAACCAAACCGTGTTAGCTAGTAACATAATTGTTTATCTCCGCTTTCTCAATATAGAATGTTGAGGTTATCTTGTTTCAACATTTTTGGGGAGGATATGAGCATTAAGCACAAACATATGTAAACCCATGTTCCTGTACTCGAAGGCCTCTGTGCTTTTGATTTTCTCAGTTTGAGTTCTTCGAAATCTCTAGGTTCTGTTTGTAGAAACAAATCATGTGAAGAAAAGGTTAAGACCTTATACAACTGATTTTTTTGGTGTTTTCTACAAACTATTTCTTGAAGCTTAAATCATGGACCAATTCTTATTTCTGGTTTTGGAAATTAGTCAATCTCAGAAGAGTAAATATGCCAAAATGGCACACTCAGTAGAAGTTTAGGTCATTAATCAAATATGTTGTTCTTGTTGTGTGCTGAGATGGTTCTGACTCATAGCAAGCCTATATGACAGTGTAGGACTGCTCCAGAGGGTTTCCTTGGCTGTAATCTTTATGGGAGCAGGTCTTTTTTCCATTGGAGCCCCTGGTTGGTCCAAACCTCAAGCCTTTCAGTTAGCAGCAAGTGAGCAAGTGCTTAACCACTGCACCACCAGGACTCCTTAGTCAAATAAAACCGAATAAAAATATTTTCACCAAGTCATGACTTGCTACTTGACTACAGAGGAAATGAACCTTTATGATTCAAGTTAGATTTCCTTTATAAAAACTTGCTTGTGAATGTTCAGTTCAAGCCAAAGCAAATTTTACTTTCAACTTTTTACTAATGCCACTTCTGTTTAGCCCTTTGATGACACCGTCTCTATTTATGTTTCAATGAATTCAATTTCTCTGAAATTTACCAATGGCTCTTTAAAATCTTGGACACAACCAATACAACTAGATGGTGCCCGACTACCACCACCTACTGCTCTGACAGGGACCACAATAGAGGGTCCTGGACAGAGGTGGAGAAAACTGCACAAAAAAATTCGAACTCACGATAAAGGACCAGACTTACTAGTCTGACAGAGACTAGAGAAACCCTGAGAGTATGGCCCCTGGGCAACCCTTTTAACTCAGTACTGAGGTCACTACTGAGGTTCACCCTTCAGCCACAGATTAGACAGGCTCATAAAATAAACAGTAATACACTTAGCTCAACCATGTATGGGAGACTAAATGGGCACACCAGCCCAGGGACAAAGATAAGAAGGCAGAAGGAAACAGGCAAGCTGGATGAATGGAAATGGGGAAACCAAGGTCGAGAAGGGGAGAGTATTGACACATCACGGGGTTGGCAACAAACGTCACAAAACAAGGCATATTAATTGTTTACTGAGAAACTAATTGCTCTGTAAACGTTCATCTAAAGCACAATAAAAATAAAATTAAACAAATAAATAAATCTTGGACACAAAATGGTACAAACAGATGATAAAATAAGAGAAACTTTAAAGGTTAAAGTGAAATACAATTTTTCCTTAGATTTAAACTTTGTTTACATTGTTTTCCTTTAAATTAGTACATTAAAAATATTGTAATAAAGTGCAATAATATGAAAAAAGTTGTCCTTGTCTTCCCTCCCTCTGCCGTTATAATAATGTGTTTTATTGAAGAAATGGTGGTCAGTGATGACAGGCTTTAGCATCAATACTGTTTTGTGTGTGCATGCAAGCACGCTATTATACTAAACTGTGTTCGTTACTGGTTAATTCAAGTAAACTATTGTAAGTTGCATAGTACTAAAGGTTCTGATACACTGGTGTAACTTGAAAATTCTTCTCTACCTCAGGATAGTGAATTCACACATACACATATACCATTACAGGATGGAGCAGGAATCAACGAACTTTTTTCTTTCTCTTAGTAAATGAGAGAATTTGTTAAAATAGTCTAAAACTTAACTGTATAGAACTATTTTAGCAAATACCTTAAGAAGTTAATCTTTTTTCTGTATTTCCTGTTTTAGCCATGTATACATTTAAAATAATCTTTAAGATATTCACACTTAATGATTAAGCATATAGCATACTTTAATGCAACAAAGTGCAATTGAATATAATTACTATTCCTTGTAATTGAATACATTTTAATGAAAGTTTACAAGACTTTAGTTTTGAGTTTTATTTCTTCTTAAAGTTGAGAACAGTTTTTTAAAGTTAACCATGAATGCTCCATCGGAGACCTAATAATAAATTTACATAAGTCTCTCTTTAACTGATTGATTTAAACTTGATCCACTGATTTGCACCACGAACTTCAAAAGGCAGACTACTGCTGTAGATGTGATGGCCTAATTCGTCCAAGGGTGGTTCGGGATCAGTTATAGCAAACTGGGCTGCATCCTCAATTTCTTTCTTTACTTCACTATCAATTTCCTTCAATTCTTCCACACTGGCAAGCTGGCTGTTTACCATTTTATCTTTGAGAAGCATAATAGGGTCACTCTTACTTCTTACATCCTGAATTTCTTCTCGGGAACGATAACTGACTCCAGGATCACTCATACTGTGTCCGTGATAACGGTAAGTCTGCAGCTCCATCAGTATGGGCCCCTTTCCAGATCTACAATAGTCAGCTGCGAACTTTGTGGCCTCCCGGACACACAGAACATCCATTCCATCTACCCTTAGCCCAGGAATAAAATTGCCTCTCTTGTAATAATCAGTGCTGGCTGCTGCTCTCTCAACAGCTGTTCCCATTCCATAACGGTTGTTCTCACAGATGAAAACACAAGGCAATTTCCACAAAGCTGCCATATTGTAAGCTTCAAATAGCTGGCCCTGATTAGCAGCGCCATCACCATATAAAGCTAAACAGACCTCATTGTTTTCCTTATACTTACAGGCCAGGGCAACACCAGCTCCCAGGGGCACCTGAGCTCCAACAATGCCATTGCCCCCGTAGAAGTTCTTGGCATACATATGCATTGATCCACCTTTTCCTTTAGCACAACCTCCTCTTCGTCCTGTAAGCTCTGCAAGAACTGCTCGAACAGAAAGTCCCCGAGCAATGCATATGCCATGAGCCCGATAGGATGTGATGACATGATCCGTGTGTCTTATACCTGCCTCAAGCCCAACACAACACCCTTCCTGACCATCACACAAATGACAGAAACCTCGAATAAATTTCTGCTTATACAGTTGATCTGCCTTTAATTCCATTCGGCGAACAGTCTGCATCACCCGGTAGTATTTGAGGCCATCCTCCCTGGTGAGCTCTGCGGTGACAGGAGGGCCCTCTTCCAACCTATAAAGATCACATTTCTTGATTTCAAAAGTAGCCTGTTTTGAATAGTTACAGGATGCCACCAGCACTCTGCTGGCAGGCTTCTGGGTGGCGACGCCCGACAACACACGGGAGACGACTGCGGCGAGCATCTTCCTCATGGACTGCAGATGGTGGTGGCGACAACTCCCTCCCACAGGCTCAAACCGTTGGGCCCGCGGCCCGACGTCTCTTTCAGTCGCCCGAACGCGCACGTGACGCCACAATCCAGCGCAACGGTGACGGAGAGGACCTCATGTGCCGCCCTGTGCCGCGAGCCACACGACCTGGATTAACGGATTTTAAAAATATTTTCAACTGTAAAATTAAGAGTAAACGTTGTTTCTTTTACTGGAAGATTTGGCTGAACTACACCCCAATTCTAATTAACGCCATCATTATAGCTAAATTATAATAATGTGAGTCCCTTTTCCTGCTACACTCTATGGCAGTGCTTCTCAAAGTTTTCCCCCATGTGTGTCTAACAGAACTCAAAAATCAAACTCGTTGTGGGAGAGTTGACTTTGACTCACAGCGAACCTATAGGACGGGGTAGAACTGCCCCATCGGGTTTCCAAGGAGCGACTGGTGGATTCAACTGCCTACCATTTGGTTAGCAGCCAAGCTCCTAACCACTGCGCCACCAGGGCCCCATATGTAACAGACAGAGGAACAAATTCAAACACTTAAGGGGCACACAAGTTCTGGGAGGTTAGGCCAAAGATGTTCTTACCAACCCTTCTTTTAAAGTCTTATTTATGATCTTTAAAGTTTGTATGAATATTATATCCTACTCCAAAAATACACCATACTTATTTTAATGTAAAAATAACCTTTAATTTTTTTGTAATGAAAATAAAAAACCAAACCTGTTGCCATCAAGTCGATTCCAACTCATAGTGACCCTACAGGACAGAGTAGAACTGCCCTACAGGGTTTCCGAGGAGTAGCTGATGAAGTCCAAAGGCCTACTTTTTGGTTAGCAGCCCAACTCTTAACCAACTGCGCCACTATGGCTCTGTAATTAAAATAGTTAACTTAAAAAAAAAATTACAATTGATGTTCCAGAAAACATGCCACATTTTTCCTATGACTTCTAGCACCTTTGTCACCTGGAGTGTACACAAAACTTAGCCTGAGAATAATAGTCTAATCCCAATAATAAACTTTGGCTGATGTGGGAAAATTGTAGGCAGGCTAAACATGGAGATAGCAGTAAAGTTTGTAATGTGGTATCTTTTTTTAACCTTTTTTTTTTTTTTTTTGTAACCCTGAATTCCATCTAGTCTTTCAATTTGCCAACTTAGATGCTTTTTCTTTTCTTTTTTTGCCTCTATCTATACTTAAAACTGTCTTCAGCTGGTTTCCATAGAACATTTCATGACTCAGATGGCTTTGCTTTCTGTTTTTACATAAAATTAAATTAGAATGGACTTAGTCTAGGAAACTGAGAAGTATTTTCCTATAATCCTTCTTTATTTAGTAATCATTAAAAAGTATACCTTCTTATAAAGTGACCTGCCAAACAATACGTAGTTTGGACTGCAAGACAGCAGTGAGTTGGTGTAAGCCACTGTTAATGGTTCAGTCATAGGACAGAAGAAGCCTTAGGCCTAGGGCTACAGAGTCCTCATATTATTTTCCTCTTTTGTGCTTTTACTAGGAAGATGATTTTGTGCCTCAATAAGCCAACCATAACCAGGAAACCTGTTCTGTTTAGAATATTGAGCAATTCACCATAATAGATGCTGTCTGTTTTATTGCCACTGTCTGTCTGTAAATGATAATCCTTACCCCATTACAAATCCCCCTATTACATTTTCAAAGCAACCACTCTCTCTATATCTAGTTGCAAGTGTTATTTTGGGGCACTTCTTTTCATATTCAGGCAGAGAGGAGAAAATGGCTTGTTAAAAAGTTATGATACCTCTTTAAACTCAATCCTCCCCCCATCTTCCCAACCCAGCCATCATAATGGACCTCATCTTTTCACTCAGTTTAAAATTCTGCTGTTGGAATTCATGGTCTTGCTGTGTTGTTTGCTCCCTCTTTGATAGTTAGCCTGTCTCCGCTGTTCTCTTTCATTCCTGCAGGTATTGGAGATCTCCAGGGAGCATTATCTCCATGAGAAAGAGAAAAATGACACTGCAGGATGGAATGGTAGTGTTAATGGGTCACTGAGTGACAGCTGAGCCTTCTCTCAGAGGTATCAGCCGGCCTAGTGCTGCCAGGAACACAAGAGCTATACAGTAAAGTGTGCCAATTTAATCTTGTCACGTGTAGCCTGGGCTGCAAAGATAGAGCTCCTCTTAAAAGCCCAGTGTAACAAGGCTAAACCTCACTCATGCCAGAAGAGAACACGCAAAGATGCTAACTGGAAAATACTTGTGCTACAGGTCTCCACAGAAGACAGCCCTTTTTATGCAACAGGCTCTGGTTAAAATAATAAATAATAAAATGTGCAACTTCAAGAAACTTCATGGACATCCATTACCCTGTAATATCTTAAGTTCAGCTTAACAACAGAGAGCAGCTGAAATCATATTTGCACAATGTGATGTCAAAGTATTTTAATTAAACCTAATAATCATCATGATGATTTTTAAGACTTTTAATGCTATCTCCCCCAACTCATCACGTTTTCAAAGTAAAACGAAATCCCAGAATTCAGTGTAGAAGTTGGAAAATCCTCCAAGAAAATTCTCAATGTTGAGTTCTCCATTTACCTGCTCCAGGTAGACAGGATTCCAAGCTATGCTTGGGCAAGAGAGCGAGTGATGGTGTTCTGTTCTTCCAATGATTTATTTTATGTCTTGCCATTGTTCAATACCATGTATATTACAAACGGAACTAAGGAGTTATCTACATGCTCACCACTGAAATGCTGTTTGCAATTAAAACTCCCCGTGAATTCTAAGTTTTTCGTTAACATCAAGTCTCACTTTTAATCTGTTTGAAATTAAAGAAGAACCGATGAGCACTTTTCTAAGGCCCATGGCAGACTTTACATTTAATTAATAAAACAAAACCTAATAAAAGAGGAGCCAGTGATTATAGTAGCAGTCATTCATATTCATGTGACAGAATTTCACCTTTCATGTCTTGTAGTTGATCTTTCAGGGGCATTTCTGAATTTATCGTAAAAGTGTCATCCCCATTGCATCAATGGTAGATAAAAATAATTTTTATTAAAAGCCAAGGAAATGTGAAAAAGAACAGTGTGTTTGAAGGATATTTAAATTTTTCCAGTAATAATTGCACTTTTTCACCACATGGTAAATGAAGAATGCTTTTAAAGACTGAATATATTCTAGATAAATAATGTAAAATCTCATTATATGATTAATGGCAGTATTTTTTTTTCCCCAAAGCTCTAAGATTTTGCAATTAAGAGTGATGAGTAAGAACTTGATACAAAAATTAAGAGTTATATATATCTCAGAGAAGAATTTTTCCCATTTGTTCTATTACTTTATTTCCCTTGGAGAAAAGGAAAAATGTCAGTACCATATATTCTGCAAAATAGTGACAATCAAAGCAAGGTTCTTCTCTAATGTTATGATAAGTGAGGTTATTCCAGAATAGTTCAGAGCCCTGAGCAACCAAGTTTTTTTTTTTTTTTTTTTTTTTTTTTTCCATCTCACCACCAAAACCATAATTCTGAAATATCATTAAATAAAAATTTGGGGAAAAAAAAAATCAAGAGAAGACATGATTGGAAATGAGAAATAAAATAGAAGTGTTCCACATTCCACCTGGATAATGATGGTGTAAGGAAAAGAAAGACATTATGAAATGTTAGCTTATCATATGAATTCATTTGGGGTTTAAGACATCATTGTAAATATTGCTCAGGTAATGTGATAGCTTACATTTCTTTGCTGGAGGTGCAACATTAACAAAGTTTGTTCATTTGACCCTGCAGGTACAGAATGTACTACCATCTCCAAATTCTACATGAGAAAAACCAAGCCTAGAGAGATTAGGTAATAGACAAAGTTACAACGTTACTAAAAAGAACAAAGTATTTTTCACTTATTCAACAAGTATATATGAAGTGACTTCCTTCTGTATGTCCCCTGTCTGTGCTAAGTAGTGGAAATCCAATGATGATATACAATTCAATTTCTCTCTGCTTAACTCAGTTCGTATGGAGGTGTTGTGCTGTGAGCGCATCCAGATTTTCTGGCACTGCCTAGAGAAAAGGACACACCATCATTGAATGACAGAGGAAGTGACACATGAGCAGCTGTTATAACAGCAATAAAACTAATGTATTGCATTCCAGACAATGGTTACAATAACAGTTTGTCTTTATTAGGATCAATGATGAACAAATTAAAAATAGAGTACTGTCAAACTGCAACATACAAAACAGAACACTCTAATTTTGTGAAGTTGGGTTGACTCCCTTAATTTGGTAATACAGCCTAGCTGAAAATGCACACTCAGAAATATGAAAATCAGTATCCCATAATTATGCAATACTTTATGAATATGAATGCAGTTTCTCCAAGCAACCTGAGACAATGCTGTAGATGTTTTATGGAGCTTTTTGTGCGTGAGAACCTTTCTGTTCCCACGGACCCACTGTGCATCTAGATTCTAAAATATTTCCATAGTACCCAACACTGAATCTAAAAGGCCACCAGGGGAGAAGCCTCATGGAGGATTTTAAATAAGAGGCCCAATAAACACCATCCGTATTAGTAAATGAAAGCAAGAAAAGGTTTTAAGCTCAAACATGCTAGAAACTCATCAAAAGCATCGTTTTTAGGCAGCAAGATTATTGGGGGATTGTCAGAGGAATTCAACAAGGTCCTCTCAGGGACACTGGCTGGTCCTACTTCTTCCATATGCTTAAGCCCTGCATACTGCACTGAAAACTTATGATGTATTTCCCCAGAAGCTTTTAACCTTTCTCATCTCTCCGCTAATCCTGTTCCCACCTCATTCTATCATTAAAAAAAAAACACCTATTTATAAGATTGCATTGCAACTTTTCAAAGAGACTTTCTGTATTATATATAATGCATCGTCTTTCCATTGATCTGAGGAGAAACATATGCAGCAAGGTTAATAATTCCAGTAAACACTGAACATGTCCTCAGATCATAGATCTCATTTA